TTCCATCACAGCTGTCTGACACATTTTGTAAATTACAGTAAAAAAAAACTAGTTCACCTTTTTTAAGCTCCTAATTAATACGATGATAATTGGAGTACACTAAAACCAAAATGCATGCTGATACAAAATCAAAACAGCTTTACAACTCCTGAATTGGAGACAAACTTTGCTTGTAAGTTGCGTTTTACAGAAATACAGCATTCAGAAATAAAAATAATAGTCTTGGAATTATATTTTACTTACATGGTAAAAGGATCTCAATTACAGTAAATTTGTCTGGAGACACACTATTTGCTTAGCATGTCTACACACACTCATGTCTCTCAAACACTACATAGTATATTAGTCTGTTATGGCACAGTAAAAAGTTAATGGTATAATGTAAGCTCAATAGCATTAGTGTTTATAAATTATCAAAACACATCTCTTCAATGACAAGTTATCATTTATATGCTTTAACTGTCTTACATATATATATATATATATATATATATATCCAAAGATTACAATTCAAACTTATTTTAAACTTTTTAATGGATGTTTTTAATTATTTGCACTGAGAGTAAATAGGCCTGTTTGAATTCTTTTGTGATACCATCATTTCTTCATGAAAGGGAAACCCGAGGCTTATTACATACTGTGCATTTGAAACAGTTTCTTAAGTATCTGAAAATACCTTAGGATTAATAAGAAAGTGAGAGCACCTTTAGGCTGATACATCGTTAGAAAAACTAAATACTTTGGAAACTTTAAAGAACTTCTAAGAAAGTAACTGCAGAAGTTCTTTGCTCCTTTTATTAGGCGCTACTGGATAAGGATGCAGAAGGCTTAGACTAAACTTTTAAGTGCTAAAAGAGAGAGTAATATGAGATCATCTTATTTTGGTGGCCAAGTAGGCTTAGGCAAGTAAGTAGGTACTACCATTATAAATACGTTTGCATGAAAATAATGCAGTGGACAGTACCACAGTTCATAAGTAGTAATCCCATAATAATTTTCTTTCAAACTAAACTAACTCTCCAGACATTTCAGTGAATTGCCTGTTCTCATCTATTAATTACAAGTCTCCTAAGAAACACCTTTTAAAAAAAAAAAAATATATATATATATATAAACCACTCAAACAATTTGACACTCATTTCAGAAACAGAGAGATTACGAAGCGGAGCTTAAAACATGGCAGTTCCCAGTCAAAGCGTTTAAAATTGTTGGAGACCCTTGGTGCTCAGCCTGTGATTCCAATTTAATAGCACAAGAAACTAGGCCTCAACAGTATTCTTAAAAGTTAGGTTCGCTCATCTTCATTGTCCACCCACTTTAAATCAGGTTTTGTGTTTTAACGTCTCTGTTCTTCAAATGAGCACAAAGCAGTTCAAGTCTGTAACTTCGTACCTCAGGCCTGTCTTTTTGGAGGCTTTTCATAACTGTCCAGATGTTAAGCCATTAACAAAACCACTCAGCACCAAAGAGTTAGCAATTACTCTTCACACTGTGATAAAAGCAGAATTTAAAGATTTAGCTCTGGATTCACTGTTTAGTGAATTCACTGTTCAGTTTCCCCTAAACTCTGAGAAAGTGTTTAAGACTCTTATTAAAACAAAAGCTAATTCACATTTTCGAAATATGTACTTCAAATAAGTTAAATCTGTTTAATTACACTATATTTCTGTATAGGAGAAGTGAAGTATGTTGGAAAAGAATTTTATCACCAGTGAATGTCAGGCTTTGGAAGAGTTGGACACAATCACATAATGCAGATGACGGCCGTGCAGAACAGCCAAAAGGAAAAACTGGGGGTTTCTGTAGCGCGCTTTTTTTTTTTTTTATATATATTTTCTTCATATGAAGATGTGAAGACAAAGCTCCTCCAAATATCACATTTTTTTCCAGATGTGGTATTAGAAGAAAATCCCATGAGATTAAAACTAAAATATAAGAGCCTGTAATAGTAGAAAATTCTCCTCCAAAGGCTTCGGGGAAAAAAAAAATTGATACAAGCCTCATTAGTTCCTAAATAGTCAGATGTGAAGTATCCAAATGATCACTTATGAATTTACCTGGAAATCTCAGAATAGATGTATAACAAATTTACTAGCTTATATCTTTGTCACCATTTTCACAATTAAGAAAAATACTCATCTTTCTTCACTGGACTACATTAACATTAGAAATCCTGATGTTACAGTCTTTTTTGAAGATTCCTCTTTTTTAATCAGAAAAGCATCTTTCCTCTTTGTTGTTTCCGAAGTCACATATAAAGAACATAATTCAGATATCACTGACAATTCAATTATCTTCTACCTAGACAAAAGAGTTATAGCACAGAGTTGTGATCAAAAACTTGTCTGCATGCACATGTTTAGGGGAAAGAATAAAGTATTTCCTAAAGATCCAGAAAACTTTTCTCCCTGAAGTATAGAGAAAGTATATACTTTTTGTAAATAAGCATGCCACATCAGAATATTGCTCAATTACAAAAAAAAAAAACAAACAAACTTAAAATGCAAGTTACTAAACAACAGGTTTTTCCATCTAGCACTTTCTTCATCTCCTGTATACCTTTTAAACAAAGACAATTTTTTCACATGCACCCCTGAGAGCTGACAGCATATCCCACCAAGCTTTTAAATGTGCAATTTATCAAGTTCTAGCTGCTATGTCAGGTATGATCCTTCTAATTCCAAAATGAAATATAGTGTTACAAACTGATTGAAAACATTACAAGTGCATTATTCTCCCTACATAATCACAGATGCTACTGTTACAATTGGGAAATGATGGGGAAAGACAATCATGCAAGAGAAAGAAAGCAGTCTTTATGAGAAGACATTTTATAAAATTATGCTCTAAGAAGCTTTTGTAACAGGCAACTTCCTCCTGCAGAAACCATCAATTTTTCTATCAAAAGCACAAAATCTGAAATTTTTACATATTTACATAATATTAATTATAATTTCTGCATGACAATTCCTTTGAATTGTTCTTTACTGATGTCTATAATAAGAATATAAACTAAGTGGGAAAAAAAAGTAATACTAATCACGTTAAAGATTAAAAATATTCCAATAATGAAGATCGGTAAAAAGGAGTAATTTATGCAGAGGGCATTCTTGCATGTATTGTTAGGTTGAAAAAAATGACCTGTCTGAAAATAAAAATGCCTGTGTTCTTTGCTGTCTGACATCATGTTTTTATTTCTCAATAGACTGCTTGAAATTTTTGGAGTTCGAAAAGCAAAATTCAAATAAAACAAAATGACATGGAACTTTCTTAGGCCTCTTCGGCAAGCTTCAGTTCTTCACTTCTTTAAGAATAAGTAGCAGAGTGAGTTGATATCCTTCATAAACTGAGAGTCATGACAATCATGGCTATCTAAAATAGCCATAAAAAAAAAAAAACAACAACATAGTTGGGCCATTATCTAAGGCAATCACCATGGCTAAGACAATGAAAAGCAAAATCCATAAGACACCTGACTAATGATCAAAGAAATCATGTGATAAAGAGAAGGGACAAAGATAAACAAGGGCGTGCTGACAACAAACCAGAAACAAAGTGACATGCAAACATGAATTTCAAATAAATAAAACGGTCAGTCGTTCTGCTCCATCACTGACAATGGCACTAGCAAGATGCTATTTTAACTTGGGAACTTGATGTCTCCCCAGCTGGCCATTTAATAAGCCTGCTTAAGAAAGTTTACTTTGACTAACTGTAAATGAGTGCTGCTTTTCTCTAAAGGGTTAAACCCTTCACAGGGCACTGAAGGAACAGAGTTAAGTCAAGACATGGTTTATGCTTTTTAGTCCAGGCTCTGGGCTAAGAAAAAACATGGGGCTTCCTGGTATGTAGAAACTGGGATGGAGCCAGCTTTAAGTTTCCTCAGAAAGTTACATTAAGCTTGCACCAGAGGGAAAAAGTCTTTGGCATTAACTTGTCACAGAAGATTAGTACCATTATTCCCATTTCACAGAGGAGGGACCTGAAGTAAAAAGAGAATACTTCAGGCAAATATCACAGGTAAGCCAAACAGGAAGAAATGATATCCAATTCTTCCATCTTCCTGTTCATCCACTGGATCACATTATTAAATGGAAAACAAAACCACTGCAAGGCCTTTCAAAATGATGCATGACCGAGTTTAGCACTTTCATGCATTAAAGTACCGTGTACAATCTGTGTTGTCTTACTGCTGATTTTACAAAGCCCTACCTATTTCCACCCCACCCCAGAAAAAACATGCTTATCACTTAATACTTTCTCATATTTCACTGCTGCTGTGCACATCCCTCATAACAGAAAATTATGTGTATTAAATTGTCTATTCTGATTGAAGTTTAAAAGAATTAAGTCACATCACACACCTGTATGCAGATTACACACTTACATATACAGATATGTACAATGTGTAGATATATACTTACGTGTATACATGTACACAAAAGCAGACACTCCTACATACGTAAAATTGATTATTTACATGATTTCAAGGATCAGGCTTTAAATCATGTTCCCATATAATAACTTACTGTAAAATTTATTTTTTTAAAAAGGAAGCTAACTACGCATGATTCATATGCAATACATAATTAATTCTAATCAAAACTAAAGGGCTAAAGAAAACCTATTAAAAAGTGTACCAAATATTAGTTTCCTTTCTTTTCAGTGCATATCTGATGTTATTCATAAATACAAGAACACCAAAAATAGAATAAAATACAGTGAAATAATGCTGACATTATTGTATGAATCAAATATTTTTCTTCTAAAGTCAGTGAGGTAATACATCAAAAGTTCTCCTAAAAATATCAAAACAGCTCCAGCTGAACAAAATAAGAATACCAATGATAACAGGATTAATGTGTAAATAGAACAACTTAGAAGCCTGAAAAGTAAAAGCTACGTTGAGTAGCCTACAGTATGGTAGCAAATTTATTTGTTTCAGCAAGTATATGTAATATTTCTGGCTATTACTGTAAGTTGTTGGTGAACCTACTTACCTTTAAAAGCTGATATTTTATAATTATGTTGGATAGCAGCCACCATGTCCTTCCAGAAGTCATATTTTTTCTGACCATCATGCTGTAATTGTTAAAGGAATCTAGTCACTACATAAAATATCAGCCATTTCAAGCTTTTATACTCAAACAGTGGGAAGAATGCCATTAACAAATAAAAATATTTTGAAAATGGAGTAGCAGTCCTAGACAGTAGGAATCAGGACTCAGAACTCAGCTGTGAACTCTAAATAATGGGAGACAGATCTGCACCCTGCTTTTGAATTACTCATATTTATAAGTAGCCTAAAAACCTTACAGCAAAAAGGGGCATTAGAACAGCAACTTAATGAACGAGCTACCCTGCTGACTTCCAGGAAAAATTAATGCCTAGAGCTGCAGACATTGTACTAAATTAATAGGCTGACATTAACTACAGTCTGGCACTCGTATCACCTTCCACCATTGCAACTTGTAAAAACTTTCACTGCAACATAGTGACAATGTTCTTCTGCCAACAGCTCCACCGTAAACACCACATGAAATGCTTAGAGAGAAGCCAGACCGAGCAACACTACCCTGCACTGTGCTTTGTAGATTGCCAAACCCCTGCTCTGGCAGGACAGGGAAAAAAACAATCTTCAATGTGATCAGTCTCCCACTTTTCCTAGAAAGCCGTCCAGGTGCAGAAGCACTTCTGCTGACCTCTGTTACCCTCCCAATGTCTCACTAAGATAGAGAAAAAGCTTCACAAGCAGCTCAGAGTGCTCTGGGACTCAAACACTACAAACTTTAAAAATGTTGAGTTAAACACAGGTGCAATTACACAGCTAAGCACATTATAGGGCAGAGAATTAGTAACTGAGCTTGTAAGAGGTGCTCTGTTACAAAGTACAGAGCAGCAATAAAGCAGATGTCAGTTCCTACACCATAGAAAGTATTTTATAGTGTTGTTGCAGGTTTTGTATCTACTTAAGCTTAAGTTTTGATGCAACTGTGACAGATTTTTATGGCTTTGTCCTATGTCCTAAACCTGTCAGCGTATCTCTGCACTAGTACCTGAATAAAGACTTACTTTGTAAGTAGAAGGCATTTTCTTGAGAAGGATGTATTTAGAAAGTGAAAATGAATTTGAAATGTCTTAAGACATGCAGTTTATTTGTAGCAAACTGCTATTTCAGGCTTAATCCAACACAGAGGCTTCAAAAAAAAAAAAAAGTCCGCCCTTAATTTCATCTCGATCAGGTAGCACTAACAAGGCCTTTCACATGTGACTGACAAGCACTATTGGTAGCCTGCTTATGATCCACCACTTTAGAGATTAAGATCAGGAAAAATAGTGTTATTGCTTCCCCTGTCATCCCTAAATCCATTATTCTAGCAAACTACTGCATATATATATATAAAAAGGACTGTCAGAGAGAACAGGTACTGTGTATATCAGTTTAGTTAACTGCTAAGCAAGGTCATTATCTGAAGTTGTATTCATGAGATGTCAGGGAATGCCTGTCTAGTGGTGACAGCAGTAGCCTGTATTACCGCCAGCCCTTAGACAGGTTCAACTCTGCATATACTCCACGTGGCTGACTCTAGCCTTGTTTTTTCTTTTATTGTTTTGTTTGCTTGCTTCTTCTAAAAATCAGTGCAATGAGCTAACAGTTCCTCAAGAGCGTTGTTCTAAGGACAAGTTTAGAAGTGGTATACTTCCCTCAAAACCTCTGGTTTTACAAAAGACCAAAACGACTGTAAAACTACCCTACTGAAAATCCAGAGCTACTGCACATAAAAGAAAAATGACCAATTCCCTGAAAGCAGAGAGATAACTATGAGCATGCCTGTGTAGTGATTTCATTAGATGAAGTATCAGACAAAAAGTATTTTGTGTAGAGCTTCAATGCACAGATGCAAAATGTTGAGAAGCTCTTATTTGCCTGAAAACGTACACAAATTCATCAAATGCTTAGACATCTTTAACTGAGTAGAGCAGTGCAGCACCCAGCTCTTGTCTGAACCCATTTTGAATTGGAACCTAGTTCTCCATCTATTTCAGTAAAAAACTCTCCAAATCCTAGAATGTTTTCTGGAAATTTTAAGGAAAAGTAGCCTTTACTAATACAAGTTGCAAGAAGAAGAAATACAAGCCTACAATTCTGTTTAGGAGTTAGAAGGAATTAAAATGCAATGGTTTTGATACCATATGAAAATAGCCTAACAACTGCAGCATGTGTCCAGGGCACAAGTGCTGGAGAGGCCTACAACCTCCTGCCTTGTGTCTTCATCATCTGGCTGATGGTAACATCTCACAAAACTGCTGCAGTCCCTGTACCGAAATTGAGCTAATATGCAGTTAAATATTCAAGAAACTCATGAAGAACATTCTTGAACCATTTCTAGCAGCTCTGTGGAAAAATAGAGCATGGGTTTCTCTCTGGATAAAGACAGCACTGCTCCAGGGACAGTACTCCAGCTAGTAAACTAGTAACAGAACATGTAAGCACACTACATGTGAGCTGAGCCACATTTCAGCACCATCCTCTTTCTCCCCATCACCAAGTGACTTGTACCAAGTCTAAATTAACTGTAAAATAAAGCAACACAGTACAGGTGTGACATCTGAGAGAGGATTCCAAGCTGTGAGTGAGCAAGGAATGAGATTAATCAGGCACAAAATTAAGACTCTTATGACGTACCTGTCCTCAGTGTTTGCCAATGAGCTAGCTTTAGATAACTCTTCAAGCAGCAGTTGGACTTCAAACAGCAATCTGCTCAGCATGCTATTTTGGATCTAAGCCTAAAACATCAAGTCAGGTGATACTCCAAGGGACTGCAGATACCCATCTTACAATTCTCAATTCTAGTCTGCAGACAAAGCGCTGCATTACTTTAGTACTTTCAGACAGTAGATTATATCCATACCTCATTGACACTCAGATATTTTACTCAAAGAGAAAAGCTCTTTTCTACAGCTACCTAAGAGTTAAAGTTTCAACTCTTCTTTGACTCAACTGAATCAAATGATAACAAACATCAAAGATAGGATCTAAGCTACACTGTATATCTAAGAAGCACTGAAAAAAGTTGGACCAATTTCATTTTCCACCTTTAAATATAATTTATTGCTTAGAGGAAAAAAACAACTGGAAAATCACAGTATACCATAGATTTATTTACATCTACGCATACAGATTATCACACTGAAGACACAAAACACATTTAAGAAGAAAGGCTGGAATTAAGCTTTCAACCATTTAACATTTCTTGCAAACTAGCAAACCATACTACTCTTCAGATTTAATTCAAGTACCATCAAGTACAATTAAAGATTTTTAAGAAGAATATTCTCCATATCACAGAATAAACTTGAGTAAATAACTCATTTGTTCTTATCCTAGCTATTTGTGCCCTCTGGTGGAAGTACATTTACTCTGACCATACCAAGTAAGTCACAAGTAGTTTGGGGGACAGCTTTAATACACTGATAAGTCTGGCACGAAAAATTTCAAACAGGAAAGAAGAGCTAAAGAGCTTAACTTCACTGAATGTATTACTTGCATGCATTATTGAATGCATACAGCAAGTGAGGCAGAAAAGGATAAAGATAATGGAACATTTAATTTCAGAAAGTCCAGTTCTTACCTGATCTAAACTGTCCACAACCCTTGCACACAGGAGGGCTCCTGGTAGATCAAAATAATTATCATACAGATAGTATTTGGCTGGAAAAAAAACACAAACAACACCTCTAGTTTTTAAATATGTATTGTATAGTTTACAAATAAATAATATATTTAAATAGTATTACTAGCTGTTACTTGAATTTTATGATAATAAGCATTATTTGTTTCCCAACTTAATACATTTGTTAGGTTTTATTTCTATTTATTCTCATAATTGGCTGTTGGCAACAGTTACCTTACACCAAAGCAGTAAGATTTTTAGGAAACATTTTAGGATTCTAAAAGTTATGGTGGAAGAGATGGAAATGAATGAGTCTTAAAAGCCAAAGCAGTGTTGCTCAGCTATTCCAAAATATCAGTTTCCCCAGCAATAAGAAATACTGTGAGTCTGAGAAGCTGTTTCAGAAAATTTGACAGGTCTTACATAGAATCATAGAATTACTAAGGCTGGAAAAGATCACTAAGATCATCAAGTCCAACCATTAACTCATCAAACATGTGAGCACAAGAGAGATCAACTCTTACTGACTACAGCCCTCCTTAAATAACGTCTGAATTTAGGGTATTAATGGGAATTGAAACCATTTGGAAGGTTTTTTTTTTTTTTTTTAACCCTTCTCCTCTGCACTACTGAGAATTGCACTATATTCCCCTTGCTGATCTCACAAAGTATTTCCTTTCAATAACACTGACCTAGTCTGTTATGAGACTGTTGAATTGCTTCACTTCAGTGATAACAGAGCGGTTTTATTTTGAAAATGCCACAACAATACAATTTGTCATAAAGTGAAAGACAGCGTAAGAAATGTCAAGTGACTTTGAAAGCAGCATCTTATATCTAGCATCTATAAAATACAAGTCAAAATTGAATGAACCAAAACGAAGTGGACAGATGCATTTTATTTACCAAATAGGATTATTCAAGCATCATTGAAACAAAATGGGAAAATAAAAGCAATGTTTCAGCATTTCTCAGTGACGTTTTCCAGCATCCCCAGATTTCAACGAAATTGCATTTCTAGCTGTAGAACTTATCTAAAATGTCCTTCCTATTCTGATGTTATAGTTGTTTATAAGTGGCACACTGTACAAGTGTCTCATAACCTGTTTAACTTCGGATTTTGTCTTTCCTTCATTGTCTAAAACAAATAATTTGCAAGGAAATTCTTTAATGTCTAACTTCTGGGCAAGAAGGCAGGATCCTCTCTGGATTCATTTCACCCTTGGGCGGTGCTTGGGTATTTGGTTTGAATCATCTAATACAAAGGCTGGGATGGATTTCCTATAGCCCTGTCCTTTGAAAACACACGCTAAAGACAGAAACTTAGCCCAGTGAGAAGCATGCTCACATTATTCTATGATGCCCCAAAACAGAACAAAAAAGTCAGAAGGGCGCAAACATTTCTCCCAGACTAAGGTCATGTTCAGCAATTCTTTTCTGGGAGTAAAAGTGATTTTAAAGTAAATTTAGATTCAAGTAAATTTAAAGTAAATAGAGTAAAATAGGTGATGCTTTCATTGTATTAATGATCTTGTCTGTGCTGTCTCTTATGTATACTACATAAGTCAACAAAACAAGGACTAATATTCATGAAAGAGAATTAAATAATGAATGCAAAACATTTCTTTTGTACATATAGCTGAGGTACTTTCCTACCCAGCTGCAAAAGATTACCTGCAGTTTAGTGTAAGGATGACAAAAGAGTTTATGACAGCAAAATGGCAAAGAACATCTCTATCACACAGGACAATGCAACTATCAGTGAGCATTTTTTCCTTTATGTGCATCACTCACAATTACTAATCTTAAAGAAAATTTGAGATAAAGTACAAGGTGGCTAGTAAAAGTGGAAACCTAATTACAGTGCCTTCACAACACGACTCCCATCTTAAAATTAAACAGCTGCCACCACAAGATGAGCAGTTGTGTTTCCATACCTGCTCTGTTAATTGCACTTCCAGCTAGGCCTCCAGTAAGAACACTGACAGCAACATGCCAACAATTAAGACAAACTTGATTTTTTTAAAAAATTATTCTTAAATGAGATTGAGATTATGAACTTCACTACTTCAACAAGAAACAATGTGCCCATCTCTACAACCAAAACACACCTGTACTGTTAGCTTGTTCATTACTTGCCTTGTAATTGGTGATTTAATCTTAAGTATTAGAGGTTAAAAATATAAAAACAACCTTTGCCCCAAACACTCACATATTTCAGTAATTCTCATCCCAAATATTTTTTTAAAATAGATTTAGGATGAACTAACACTACAATAAACACTGAAGGGGCCAAAGCAGTTTCACAGACCAGGACATTCTGAGGTAGAGCTACCTGAGCGGGAAAGCATTCCACTGACTGTACTAAAATGTTTCCATTCCCTCCTTCCATAAATCTCCAGGATCTCTTCAGATGTCATACTCCTAGTGCCATGGCTTGCCCTGTTTGATGCATTATAGAGAGAAAAACAAAAGGTTAAAAACATTCAGACTACATCTAGAAAACAGTAATGAATTGCAATTGAATACCAAAGTGCATGCAAGTTTATCTTCACTTGAGCTCACAATTTGAAGTTTGCTAGGACCTAAGCTTTTAACTTATGCACTACAGTCCCCAGTATAAGTTTTAGTTCACAAAGGTCTGGTTGGCTGAGGGCATGGATACTGTGCCTCACCTCCTAACACAATCACTCTGTGTTGCTCGAATGTTCTCAATTGTATGAGGACATTATACTTGAACTTTCAATATACACTGCACAATAAAACACAGAGCAGGAAGCCTATACACCATTCTGAAGCCTGGTAACATTCACAAAATGCAGGGCAGGACTGTGATAAAATTCTAGTTTGAGCCCTCAAAGCAGCTATGTAATACAGAAATAGGTACAAGCCTTTTAGGGAATTAAAAATCCACTAACTTGACCATCAAACTGTGCCCCTAAAGAACATACACAACCCAGTTTTGAAGGAAACAGGAAATGCTAGGATAACTAATACTGTAACACTCTTCCCTTTACATTAATATATCCTCTTGTCTTGAATTCCAAACCTAGCTCTTTGAAATTCATGGTACTAACTGAATTTCTGTACGCATAAGAAAGACTCACAGATATTTCATTCCTTATTTGATAGAATCATAGAACAATTTGTGCTTGGGAAGGGACCTTTAGAGATCACTTAGTTCCTACCTGCCCTGCCATGGATGGGGACACCTTCGAAGAATTCAATGAAATCTGATTTCCCCTAGCATCTTCATGGGTTTTTTTTGTTTGTTTGTTTGTTTTGTTTTTTAAGAAAAAAAAAAAAAAAAAAAGGAAATATGAAGATGTACTAAAATTATGACTCAAGGGAAAATTCATTTTTAAGAGGAAAAAAAGACTTCCCCAAGTGAATGTGTCAGTTTCTATGCTTAATTTACCTCAGGCTACTTAAGCTACATGTAGCAAGTCTGCAAGAATTTTGAATATGTATGGTACAAAGACAATTGCTCTGTCATTAACATTAGTCATTAGCATTGATTGACTCAAGTTACTCAGAATTCAAAGAAAAACCTTACCCTGGATCTTAGCAGAATTGGACAGAGTACATTGGTAGCCACTGAAAAAAGTGAATTTAGTTTCAAGATCAGTATGCACTCAATCTTAGATGTTTATAAAAAACTATATATTCTTCCTAGCAGCTAATATGGAAATATTATGAAAATACTAGGTTTATAACATTAAGAGATACTGAACACTAGTTTACCCAAGAGTATTTAAATTTTTACATAAATGAATATATATTGAAACCAGTATTTTAGATGTTTAATAAAACTGAGGTGACTTTCAAAAAGAGGATAAAATGTTCACGTTTGTTTAACAATAAACACACGTAATCAGTATTACCTCAAAACTGTTCCGTCTTCCGCGAGCTTCAGGAAGTTTCCATCTTCAAAGTCCAATGCCAAGCCTTTACAACTAAAAATAATTGTTGTTGTTGTTTGTTTGTTTTTTAAGGAAGAAACAAGAAAAATGTTTTCAGAAGAATGCCTCTTTGTATCAGAATAGTGAAATGCAGTTACAGAAGCTATATAACAATGCCACTTAAAAGCAACAAATCACAACCCCTCAAGCACTCCCATGTTTGAAAGTAACGTATGCAAATACATATCATTACAGTGAGGGCTGGATTTCACTTACATAGCAAATTCCTACTAAATAAATCCAGTTCCATTGTTCTGTGAGTTCAGTGTGATTATTCATATAGATAGGGTTGGGGGATTAAGGCCTGAACATATACAACTAAGAAATGTGATGTTCAAGCCACTATTAAAGAAAATTAAATACACATTTTGACTGTACCTCCCCTACTTACTACTGCAACAGTAACACCAATATAAGGAAGAGAGAGATAGAACATCATTCTCAGCGAGACAACAGAGTATCTAAAGAGCATGTGAAGAGAGGCATTGTCAGGCTAGTCTGCACTCACAAGGTGAAGGGTACACAGAGTAGGACAGATGTGCCACAGCAGTTCCTAACTCACCTAGTAAATTCACAACTTTCAGAAAAATGAACTCACATTTACTTAGGTTGTTTGAAAAATGAGAAGATTCTAGATTCTAGATTCTATTTCTAGAATAATATTGGAAAAGATAAAAGAAAATGGAAAAGTAATGCTTTCTTCACTCTGTGTTATATGGTACCCAAAGGAAAGATAATATGCTATGAACTCAGCTAGCAGACTATCCTTTCACGCTCGACACCTGGGTGATTAGCATCAATGTGATGCTACCAGCACTATGGGCTTGCAGATCCTCATCAAGGAGCCCCCAGCTTCAGGATGGAACCAAGGTAGATATATCTAAATGTTAACTAGATTTCATGCCTCAGAGTCCTCAAAATATGAGAAATACAGAAACCCTGGTTATCACATGAAATTTGCAATCAGACACGTTTGGAAACTCACCAGTCAAATACTGAATTGTAAAAACAACTTGAAAACAAAACACCTGTGCTTCTCCTAAGGAAAAACAAAGCCGAAACAAACAGCAATAACCTGACCTTCAAGTCCCCACACTCTTGCCATAGATTATAACCTATAAAAGTTGGAACATCAGTGATTCACATTAAAGTTCCACCTCAGATACCACTGAATTCAAACCAGAAACTTGTGTTTTAGTTTCTTACATTACAGCTTTGTGCCTAAAGCATCACTCAAGGGCTACTTCTTGGCATGTCACCTTTCCTCAGTTCCTGAGAAGACTGTTGGGATTATTCTGCCTTACATAAACAAAAACACATCTGTAAAGAGAAACATGGAGATATGACTAAATTCTGATGGTTACTGTATTTACCAGTTAAGGGTAGAAGAAAAAGGAGGTGTATCTCAGCAAGTTAAACCACAAAGTTTTTTGTGAGTTCATAGAAAGCACAAAGCAAGCTTGAATATTCAGTTGTCTCTTCAAAACATCATATTAGAAGTATTTCAAGAGAAATACTTATGGTTTTAAATACTTGTTGGAAAAAAAGTGAAGTTACCTATTTGGTCTGATAGTCTTAACAAACGTCTAAGAAGCTGTTTTCCAAGCTTCATAAAAGTATACTACAAATAGTATAAAGGAAGTTATAAAGAAAGTTTATGTTATTTTCAACATACTTACCAGAAGTCTAAGCTTTCTGGATTTAGAGTCAGCAAGTCTTTGTCGTAACCCTTCTCCGTTACCAGATACTGAGCAAAACTATCATATATTAGCTATAGATGGGAAAATAAAATAAAACAAAAAATTAAAATGGTATTAACTACATTAATTAAGGTATCTAAAGATAATGCTTTCCCTGGGAAGATGTGAACTTTAGTACCACCAAAGAAGAGGCAAACAAGGAGCATGGGGGACCTGCTCCACAGCATTTTACCAGTAGTGCCTGAGTTACTTCTAGTAGGCTGGAAAACAGCTCAAGATGCTCATGCAATAGTTCTGGGACAACTTTTGTAACACAGCCAGACGTATAGCGTTCTACCTTACTGCCCTAGATTTTCAAGACTACTGGGAAACAAAGATGCTAAGCACCCAAAGCCAGTCACTACTTCCCCTTCCAAGTCTTTTTTTTTTTTTTTTTTTTTTTTTTTAATGTCAGGTTACCCTGATTCAACAAGTAGCACCTGAGCCTATCAACAACTGCAGCTAGTAAACACAGAATAATTGAATCACAGAATGGCCAGGGTTGGAAGGGACCTCAAAGATCATCAGGCTCCAACCCCCATGCCACAGGCAAAGTCACTAACCTTCACATCCAGTACTAGACCAGGCTGCCCAAGGCCCCATCTAACCTGGCCTTGAACACCTCCAGGGATGGGGCATCCACAGCCTCTCCGGGCAGCCTGTTCCAGCACCTCACCACTCTCTCTGTAAAAAACTTCCCCATGATATCCAACCTAAGTCTTCCTTCCCTCAAATTAAAACCATTTCCCTGTGTCCTGCCATTATCTACCCTTGTAAAGAGTTGACTGCCCTCCTGTTTATAGGCTCCTTTAGGTACTGGAAAGCTGCAATGAGGTACCCCACAGCCTTCTTTTTTCCAGGCTGAACAAGCCCAGCTTTCTCAGCCCGTCTTCATAGGGGAAGTGCTCCAGCCCTCTGACCATCTTTGTGGCCCTCCTCTGGACCCTCTCCAACAGCTCCTTATCTTTTTTGTACTGGGTGCACCAGACCTGGACGCAGAACATTTTAAACATTCCTGATAAAACATATTCTGAAGAAAACAGCAACTACTAAGTAAAAGATTCATAAGGCCAGAAAGAATAAGTGCTAAAGCCTAGCACAACATTCAGCCAGTTCTTACTGTAATGCATTAGTGAGGTTGCGCAAGTAAATCTAAGCAGATAATGCCAGGTCCCTTTTTCTCATAGTTATTTCATTAAAACTGTTCTCCCAAAGTTGCTCTTGGAATGACTTTGAATAGTGAGAATGACAAACAGTAACAACTGCATCTTCTGGTGCTCATGCCAGCACTTTAAAGTACGTTATTGGTCACCAGTAAGGATATGCGCAAAGGGCATGTGACAACCAGCCGCTGCCTTGTGAGAAGAGTGAACAAAATTTGAGAAGTCTTTTTCCATAAGAAAAACGCCTCTCTGCAGGATATCAAACACCATCTTAGAAAGCAATGCAGTTTCACAGAACAAGGCGCATTGCACCTTTGTTACACTTGTTTCTATAAAAACAGTTATTTCTGTATGACACTTAAGAACATCCATGGGGCATGAGACAGCTGTGCAGCATTCTGACCTCAACAGAAGGGAGCCTTGCAGATGGAACACCCGAGACTGAAAGGGGCCGAGCAGAAAAGAAGTGCTGAGGCAGAAGGTGCAGCGCATGCCATCAGGCTCTGACAGACAGCAATGCTGAGGCAGAGATGCTGAATGCCCTCATGCTCACCGTTCTAAGCACGACAAAGTTTGCCACGATCCCCTACAGAAAGCGCTATGCACTTCGAACCGCCTGCTCCGGCGCGGGGGGACTCTGCCTTTCTCAGCACCACTCCAGGCAGGAGAACACTTCGGAGGCGCCGTTTCCAAGGCAAAGACACGGCAGTACCCCCCAGTCGGGCTGAGGCCTGCCGAGGGAGCGGGCAAAGAGAGAGGCTCCCGCTTCTCCCCTCCTCTCACGTTTCCCGGTGGCTCCGCGTCCCCCTGCGGGACTCCCCTCGCACCCGAGACCCCCGCCGGCCCCGCACGCCCTCACTCGCACTTCCGCTCGGGCGGCCGGAGCGAAGCGGGCAACCCTGGCTCTGCGGCCGCGCCGTGCCCGCACTCACCGTCGCGCTCTGCGGGAGGTGGTAACGGCACAGCGTGTGATCCAGATCGAAGCCCATCACCTCGCAGTCGGCCAGGGAAAAGTACTGCTGCATGGCCGCGCCGCCACCGCGGGAGGCGGGCGGAGGCGGAGGAGGAAGAGAAGGAGGAAGGCGCACGGGCGGTGCTTCCTGCGGCGCGGGGCGGTGCGGCCGCAGCCACTCCGCCCCGCCCCGACTCCGCCCAGCCGCTCCGCGGCCGCCCTCACCTGCGCGGAATCCGGCCCTCAGCAGCAGAGCTGGGAGGCGCAGGATAGCCTTGTTCAATCGCTGAGGTTAAGAAAAGCCTTTCTCGCCGAGATCTCGTGCGGCTGGGAACGGTGGGGATCCCGCTGAGTTCTGAAGGTGGACGCACACAGAGTCAGCGTGCCGAGGGCGCTTCGCTGGGCGTAACGAAATGCTCCGTTTGGAGAAAAGCAAAACAAATGAGAGCTGCACTGAGTTAATTCTGTTCTCTGTGGTTGGATCTGTATGCTCATATTTCACACCATTTAATTTGGAAAACACACACACATATATGATTATGTATATATATACATATACATATATATGTACTTCAGTATATATATCTGAAATATATTCATGTGTCATTATGTAAACAGGCTGCTCCGAAAGTAATACCTCCTACTTTATGATGTTGGCATACAGAAGGAGAGATTCATCCAGGATCTTGCATGCAGCAGTGGTCTCAGCCGTCAAGATGGGGGAACTCTGAGCAAGAGGTCATTTTTCTTCCCCAAACCTCTCACTTTAGGAAACATGGAGCATATTCCTGCCCCACTGGAGTCAATGGTGACAAATTTCTATCGACTTCAGCAGGTTCAAGTTAACTCAGTTTATCTGACTTGAAAATTGTAGCAATAGATCATAGAATCGTAGAATCACAAGATCCTACTTTGGGAATTCTCCTGTTCCAGAAGGTGGTTTGTTTTTGTTTTTGTTTTCCCAAAAGGCCTCATGTAGCTTAACAAATTTTGTGTAGATCATAGCATTTTAAATTTATAGTGTTGTTTTCCATGCATGCATGTTTATGTAAGCTCACTACAAAATCAATTTAACATGCTATAGTATTGGAACAGCTGGAGTGATCACTGTACTTGCCATCAGAAGCAATTATGAACATCCAGATTTTGTGAATACTGCACAATAATAGTAGCAGTAATGAGAAGCTATCTCACAATTTACAGCACAAAAGCACTTTAATTCTAAGTGACTTACAGTCATTTAAGCAATGGAGCAACTTATCAAGTTAAATTTCAGGTATATGAGGCTGAAGGTTAAATTAGAACTGTGACAACAGAAAATACAGAAAATGTTGATTAAGGGGATAGGTTTTCATATCTGGGAAAGAAGAATGCAAATCAAAGAATATCATCATCTTCAGTATCTCAGCACCAACCTGATAACAGGAAGCTCCTAACAGTTTACTTTAACCAACAGCCCAAGGTTTGTTTCTTTCCCTTTTGTCTGAAAAGCTTTCCGATGTCTCACAATTTCTTGCTTTCAGATGAGTCCTTCAAATGTCCTGACAGCCCACAGTAGCATCTTTTTCAGAATGATGCTGTGTTTAATTGAAATCCCCCATAATATTTGGGACATCTTAATATGTTAACAGCATCCTTTCAAATTATTTTTTCAGTTCAGTACTGACAGTCTGATGGCACCATGGCCAGATCAGGTGTGTCCACATAACTCTTCCAGTGCCTCACCACCCACAGAGTAAAAGATTTTTTCCTTATATCCAATCTAAGTCTGCCTTCTTTACGCTTGAAGCCATTTCCCCTTGTTCTATTACCACAGACATTGATAAAGAATCTGTCCCCTTCTTTCATGTCACTCCCCTATAGAGATTCAAAGGCCGCTATCAGGTCACCTCAGAACCTTCTCTTCTCCAGGCTAAACAGCCCCTACTCTTTCGGCCTCTCCTTGAAGGAGAGATATTCCATCCCTTGAATCAGTGGTTGATGTGGAGCCTCCCTCCATGGAGATATTCAGGACTCATCTGGACACCTACCTGTACAATTTATTGTAGGAGACCTGCTCTAGCAGGATGTTTGGTCTCAATGATCTTTTGAGATCCCTTCCAATTCCTGAGATTCTGTGATTTTGCCTTTCTTTGTGCCTTCCCCTACTTTCAGCACAGGACAGGCTCCCACCACTTTGTATGTTCAGAGGGTGGGGATAATAACATGTTTCCAAACAAGGGGATTGAGTGCACCCTCAATAAGGTTGCAGGCAACACTAAGCTGGGAGGAAGTATTGATCTGCCTGAGGGTAGAAATGCCCTACAGTGGCATCTGGACAGGCTGGATAGCTGGTCTGAGGCCACTGGGATGAGGTTCAACAAGACCAAGTACTGGGTCTTACACTTGGACTACAAGAACCCCAGGAAATACTATAGGCTTGGGGCAGAGAGGCTGGAAAGCTGCATGAAAGAAAGGATCTTGCTGTATTAGTCAACAGCCAGCTGACCATGAGCCCGCAGTGTGCCTAGATGGCTAATGGCACCCTGGCTTGTATCAGAAATGGTACAGCCAGCAGGAGCAGGGAGGTGATCGTCTCTGTACTTAGCTCTGTTGAGGCCACCACTTCGAGTACTGTGTTCAGTTTTGGGCCCCTCACTACAAGAAAGACATTGAGGCCCTGGAGGGTGTCCAGAGAAGGGCAACAAAGCTGGTGAGGGGTCTGGAGCACAAACATTATGAGGAGCAGCTGAGGGAACTGGGATTGTTTAGCCCAGAGAACAGGATGTTCTAGGAAGACCTTATTGCTATCTGCAGTTATCTGAAAGGAGGCTGTGGTGAGGTGAGGGTCAGCCTCTTCTCCCATGTAACAGTGATAGGACAGTGGAGAATGGCCTTAAGGTTCAGGCTGAATATTATGAAAATTTTTTTCTCAGAAAGAGTGGTGAGGCAGTGGCGCAGGCTGCCCAGGGAGGTGATGGAGTCAACATCCCTGGAGGTGTTCAAGAACTGTGTAGATGTGGTACTGAGGGACATAGTTTTGGGGCATGGTAGGGATGGTTTGATGTTGGACTAGATGATCTTAAGTGACCTTTTCCAACCTTAATGATTCTGTGATTCTGTGCCTCAGAGTACAAAAGCAACCAGGTTGAGTCCAGTGACATACATAAAGGCAAAGGAACCCTGCCAAAACTCCTACACTTAAACCTCACTTGTTTTTAGGCCTCTGATGAGCCTCCTCATGGTCTTCGTGTCCTTTGTCGTAAGGGGGCAGCAGTACAATGCAGTGAGGGCCTCCTTGCCGTCATTTGCCAACGATCCTCACTCACGCTACTCTGCTTTACTTTCATCAAACTTCGGCTTTACTTTCCTGAAGCTGTATAGATCGACTTTGTGAGTTGTTTGATTTTTTTTTTTTCTTCCCTAGGCATGCATTTTCATCCATTTATATATTTAGGTTATAAGATTTTAATTTTAGAGAAAGATCCCTCGTACTATGCAAGGGTGTACAAAAGTGATATGCAAATATGAAACAATAATTTGAAGAAATGATACATTTTCATGTTAGACAAGTAGCACTTGCTTACAGAAAAGTAAAGTCAAAACATTCATAATAATGGCCATTTGTTTTTTAAAAAACAAATGAAGTTACTTTTATAATAGAATAAATCAATCCAAAGAGAAGTTTTGTTGTTGTTGTTGTTTAAAAAAGAAACAACAGTAAATAGCACACTGCTAAGAGCAAGAGCTTGAATTTAGCACTTGTTTTGGCTTTTAACTCATTCAGTAATTCTATGCACAGATAGTAGTCTGCTTTGCAGTCCTGAACTTGACTATGTTTCAGCCCTTCAGCATGTCCATCACTGTGGAGATGTGATGCCTGGACTCTTCACAGCACAATTTCTCACAGACCTGGGATGACAGAACATCATGGTTTTATGATTTTTGGTTATTGGTATTCCACATCACAGCATCATGTAGTGCACTGGGAGTGAAAGAGTTAATGCTCCAGGTCTGGATACCTGTCCTGGAAGAAAACTACTACATTCCCCTGAAGACTATTTGCTGTTCTGTTATCATTTCAGCTCACGGGGAACAGATATAAGGCCTTCATATGTCACCTGACTTTCTCTTTTCCCTTTTTCCATCTTTCTCTCTCCTCCCTGCTGCTTGACCTGACTGCGCATCTCACCTCAGCGTTATGGTGAGGCCTTTCCACATTTCAGACACTGTCTCTCATTATATTTGATTTGTTAGCCCCAATTATATTATAATAATAATAATTATTATTATTATTAGCCCTAATTATATTATATTGTATTATAGTGTTATCCTGCATTCCAATATCTTATTTAGTAAATTAGTTTGTTTCTCCTCAGATTGTTGCCGCTGTTTTGTTTTGGGGCCCATCTCTCTACCCTTTTTCCCTTATCCCCTTTTCCAGAGGTGTGGATCTACAGATCCCTCTGCCCCACAAGTCACAGAACTGTGTTGAACCAGCCCACAGCCCACAAACCATTGACACACAAGGACTGAGCTGAAGGCTTAGGGTCATCTGAGAGGCTACTGAGAGCTCCCATTTTCCTCTCTGCAGCCTCTGGTAGCCCCCAGACAAATGCCGTTATTGTTGTAACTTCATTCCCACGTACTCACGTAGACCCACGTATCATCTTCCTCTTATATGTGAATCGATACTCAAGATTCAAATAGGATGAGTTGCTTTGCAATGAGGCTGCTATACCTATTTAAACTCTAAGTGCCCAGGGAACTTTAAGCTGGACTTCAGTCCTGTCTCTGCAATCACACCTTCAAAATAAAACTCAAGAGTAGTCAGTGGTAGTCACACATTTGCCACGTTTTTTGAGGATTTTCAGTGAAATGATACTTCCAGTGGAATTCTTCAGGATTAAACAGGGTTGTAGGATTTGTTGCTATGTTTTTAAGATTTGCACACTTAGAAGGAAGCAGATTTTTTGTGGAAAACTATGGAGGCGTAGTCTAAGCATATACAGAAGAAGGCCTCTGACTTTCATTACAGAGTGATGCTTCAGTGGGCATAGATCTGACAACACTAGCTCTTTTCAAGGATGTCCTAGTTTAAAAGAAAGAATGCTATGAAGAATAGATTTATTTGAAAAGCAGCCAT